GATGAATCACTAAATTCTACTCCTGAAACCATTACTACACTATACACTAACTTGAATTTAAATTTTAAAAAATTCTACAAAAGTAGTAGAAATATAATAAGAAATAACAGCAATTCTACAACCTCTTCAAAGAAATAGAAGAGAGGGACCACTTCTTGAATCATTTCATCAGACTGGCATTACCCTGATATCAAAATCAGACAAAGACACTACTAGCAAATCATTCAATAATATATAAAAAGAATAATACAACATGAGCAAGTTGGATTTACCCTGGAAATACAAAGCTGGTGCAGAATTCAAAAATCAGTTAAGAAATCATATTAGTGTATCAAAAAAAAAAAAAAAAAAAAGACCCACATGATCATATCAATTGATGCAGAGAAAGCATCTGACCAAATTCAACAGCCATTCATGATAAAAAACATTCAGCAAACTATAACCAGAAGGGAACTTTCCTAACCTGGATATAGCGTGGCCACGCACTGAAGAAGTTCTCAGACACCAGACCGAGCGGGTGTGCAGGGCTGCCTCTGTGAGAGAGCAGCAGACTGCATATAGCCCTTATTTCATATTTCATTAGATAGAGGATCAAAGAATATCAAAGCATGGATAGAGAGCACAATGGACCTTTAGACATTAACCAGACATACATTTGGTGGCTACGTGAAGGCATGCAGGAGTACGTGAAGTTTTAAGGAGCGTCAGGGAATTACAGCAGGTTTTGTATCTTAACTGTCCTCTGGGGGATCATGGGGCTCTGTAGCTCATAATGCTACCACGTTCGACAGCCTTGAGACCAGAACACTGCTGACGTTTCAGCTATTGCCCCGTTCACCCTCCAGGACTTACAACACTTTCTCTAGAAACAACTCCACAATACACAGCATCTTACAAAAATACCTACACCCTCCATCCTGCTTAATGAGGAAAGACTACATGCTTTCTCCCTAAGACCAGGAATGAGGCTACGATATCCACTCTCCCCTCTGTTAGTCAGTATTTTGCTAGAAGTCCTAGTCACTCCAGTAAGGAAAGAAAAAAGAAAGGTCAGGAAGGAGGAAATAAAACTTCCAATTCACAATGACATGATTATGTATGTAGAAAATCCCATGAAATTACAGAAAAAAACCTCCTAGAACCAATACGTGAATTCAATGTTGTCACAGCATAGAAGCTGAACACAAAGAAATCAAGCAACTTTCTGCATGCTAGCAATGAACAATTACATAACAAGACAAAATACAGAAACCACCCGCAGGTACCATTTACAATCGCTTCCCCCGTTCCAGTCTATCGAAACATACACAGGATGTATATGCTCAAAACCACAAAAAGCTGAGGAAAGAAATATAAGACCTAAATGAATGGAGACACATACTGTGTTCTTGGGTTGATCAAATCAAAATAATGTAGGCGTCAATAGGCCTCAAAGGAATGCAACATTTTAATACAATTCCAATAAAAAATCCCAGTAGGACTTTTTGGACATATAGACTGATTATGAAGTTTATGTGGAAAGGTAAAGGAACTAGAATAGTCAAATAATTTTGAAAATGAAAAACAAAATTGGAGGAGTAACACCGATTTTATGATTTACTGTACAGCAACAGCCAAGATATGGAAACAATGTAAGTGTCCATGGAGGGATGAATGGATCAAGAAAATGTGCTATAAATACACAATGGAATATTAATTGGCCATAAAAAGAAAATCCTGACTTTTTGCAACTAAATGGATGGACCCTGAATGCTTTACACTGAAAGAAGACAGAGAAAGACAAATACTGTATGTTCTCACATATGTGGAAATTTAAAAAGCCAAACTCATAGAAATAGAGATTAGAATGGTGTTTGCCAGGGGTTGGGGAAAACGGTGGTCTTGGGCACAAATTTCCAGCCATAAGAAGAGTAAGTTATGGGGATCTCACACACACACACACACACACACACAAT